CACTGGCTCTGGGATGGGCTGAAATTCTGCCTCCTCACAAGTGCCAAGTGTTGCCAATGCTGCTGGTCCAAGGAGCACGCTTTGAGTAGCAAAAGGGTATGGTGAAGTGCTCGGGGCTGGTGCACTGGGATGACCCAGAGGGATGGAGTGGGGAGGGAGGTGGGAAGGGGGATCAGGATGGGGAACACATGTAAATCCATGGCTGATTCATGTCAATGTATGGCAAAAACCACTACAATATTGTAAAGTAATTAGCCTCCAACTAATAAAAATAATTGGGGGGAAAAAAGGGAATGGTGAATGTATGGGAAATTTCATTCACTCAGTAAGAAGTGCTTATTCAGACTAGTTCATGGGCTAGGCCCTAATACCTTAAAATGCAGGTTTTTTGATGTATTTATTTGTTTTATTAAAGTATTTTTTAAATTTATCTTTTTGAATATATAATAGTACATATGGTAAAAAAAATTTTTTTTTCTATTTTTCATAAAATCCAAAAGGGTACACCAGCCCGCAAAGATGCTCACTGTTACTTCTTGAGTTTTATTCTAGAAGTACTTTATGCATGCCTGCATGCTGAGTCATTTCAGTTGTGTCCGATTCTGTGAGACCCTATGGGCTGCAGCCTGCCAGGCTCCTCTGTCCGTGGGATTCTCCAGGCAAGAATACTGAAGTGGGTTGCTGTGCCCTCTTCCCAGGGATCTTCTTGACTCAGGGATCAAACCCTGCAGATGTCTCTTGCATCTATCTTCATTGGCAGGTGGGTTCTTTACTGCTCATGCCACCTGGGAAGTCCTACTTTATACATACAAGAGCTACCATCGTTTTTTTTTAACATTCTATTCCCTGCTCTGCCACTTTCTTTTTCCATTTTACTATATCTTAGAGATTATTCTATATTTCAACATATATTTCTGCATCCTATTAATGAGTATCATAATGTCCACACAGAATGCATTTGTTGTTTCTATGAAATGTAGAGTGAAATGGCTTAGCTTCTTCCTTATCCTACACATTCCCCAGAGAGAACAGGTATCATGTTTTCTGTCCTTTGAATCCTCTAAATTATCTCACCCATGTTGGCCCATCTTTGGCAATTTCATTTGATCTAAAGTACATACATCATGCATTTACAAAAGCATGTCTGCATTTTTTTTTTACCTTCAGAGCCCAATCTTCCTAGATTCATAAACTGTTTCTTAACTCTGTAACCCCTCAGTACTCACAGATTACTGTTGTGTTAATAAAATATTGAGTTGTCCAAAAAGTTCGTTTGGGTTTTTCCATGCCATCCTTGGGAAACCGTGAACGAACTTTTCAGTCAACTCAATGTTATTGTGCAATACTAAATACATAAATGTGTGTTATTGGTGGGGTTCAGTACGCACTAGCCCCAAATACACTACCTTAGCATATTGAATATTTCAAGCTGAAGAAATCCAAGAAAATATATGCAGGAACGACTCTCTGACCTTCCCTAGAAGCAGGTCACAAGACCCTCATGTGTGAAGCAGGTCACAAGACCTTCATGTGCCCTCCGTCCACCCAACGGAAAAGGTCATGCTTGCCTCCAAGATGGAGGGACCCCCAAGAGGAGTATTATTGAACACACCTAAGTTTCCCCAGTTTACTGAGCTCATATCCCATTTGTCCTATCCCATTTCACCATGACTTCCCTCTCTTCATCAAACCTAGCACAAAAATAGACAAACCTGACTGCTTCTTCAGCCTTTCACTTATTTGTGAAGGCTCCCATGTCACATAAAACTTACGCTAGATAAATTTGTATGCTTTTCTTCTGTTAATGTGTCTTTTGTTACAGATACCCAGTCAAGAACCTGAAAGAGTAGAAGGAAAAGATTTATTTTTCCTCCCCTCCAGTATATTTAAGGAAAAAATAAAAACATTAATAATAGTAGCCTCTGTCACTTCCTACTGCCTCCATGTATCCCTTCCCTGTCACATGATGGTCTCTCTACCTACGAAATAACTACTATCCTGAATTTTGCATTAATCATTCTCCAGTATTCCTTTCTCAGTGGTTCTCAAGCCATTAGAATCACCTAAAGAGCTTGTTTAAACATGAATTTCTGGGTTCCACCCCAAGTTTCTGATATAGTAGATCTGGGGCGATGCCCAAGAATCCGTGCTTCTTGTAAATTCTCATGTGGTGCGGATGCTGCTGATCCCAGGCCTACACTTTGAGAACTACTTTATCTCAAAGATACTCCTGCCTTCTACGTAATGACAATTTGTCTCCTTCCCTAAAACCTGCTCACTCAATAAATATAGCTTAAAGACTTCCCCTTCTTCTTCCTCTCCTCCATTTCCTGTCACCCAATTTGTGAGCGTTCCATCTTTGCTAAGTATTTTAATTGACTGTAGCATTTGACCAGTTTTCCATTTTTTCTTTTCCATTAATGATCCTGTTTATAAGTTACTTCTTGTTTGTGTGTGTATGTCAACTAGAAGAACAGGTATAAGCAACATTTACATGTCTTACTCATCTAGACTTTAAGATCCTTGGAAGCAGGAACCAAGTAAAGGCGTTCAGAACATGCCGTGTTAAAATATTCTGCTTTGATGATTAATTATTGATTATTTTGAGCTGAGGACACTTATTAAACAGCAGATAACAGGAAGGGCTCTCTGACATCCCCCATACACACCTAAAAGTGAGTTGTAAATTTTTCCTTGAGAAACATATCCTCCCTGTACCAGGAAGAGAAGAACATTCTTATCATCAGAGACTGGGAGTTGACTCCAGTCTGTATAAACAAACCTACTAAAATAACCCTTATCTTCCACCAGTTCCCTTCACGTACTTCCCAGTCACTGTCCCACAATTTATTGCCCCTAGTACAAGCCACTGTGCTTTGTCACATCCCCACAATTTATCATTCTTTTTGTGAAAAGGTGTGTACCATATAATCTTTAGGACCTAAAGACTTTGAGTTTTCATTTTCCAGCTGAAGATATCTGTGTATATGTAAAAACAAATTAAATATATCTGCCTTTCTCCTGTTAACCTGTCTCATGTCCATTTAATTATTAGGCCAGCCACAGAACTTAAGAGTGTAGAGGGAAGTTTTTCCTCCCCACGACACAAGCTTAATTTCCCTTTGTAGTCTACTTCTTCAAGTAAACTACAGGCCACAGTTTGCAAGTTCTGTTGCTTGTAAGGGCCAAAAGGCAATGTAAATAAGTGAAATTTGCCACGTGGAACTTAGCTGAGACCATGTCCTATGTAAAGACAGCAGCTGTTACCCGGATTTAAGCCAACTGAGGGTCCCTTGTTGTCTCGTTTTCCCAGTTTCCAAGAGAAACCAGAAATAACCCCAACTAATTCAACAGTTTAAGTACATACAGCAGCCACATAGAGCACAGATTCCAAACAGAGTATGTCTGCAGGAACTGAAACTGAATCCATTCCATACTTCTAGACCTTTGTGGTAAATGGGTGGATGGATGAATGGGTGGGTGGGAGGGTGGATGAGTGAATAAGTGAGTAAATAATGAATCTGGGTCTTTACCGCAGTTCCCAAGGTTGTAGGGGAGGGGAGTGGAGAAAACAAGCAATTGTTGAGGACCTATATTCCTGGCCCTGTGCAAAGGGTTTTACATACCTTATCTCATTTGACCTTCATAACAACACCTCAAGGTAGTTATTATCATCCTTGTTTATTTCCACACTCATTTCACAGATAAAGAAAGGAGGCTTAAAATGGCCCAGGGTCACACCACTCGTTTTCTTTATTTATAACCTACCTAATTTTTTTTTACTTTTATTTGCATTTATTTTTTGCGACATTTATTCCTAGGCCATAAGTTTTTGTTTCTGCAGTTTCTTATGGGATATCTTTTTCTTCTGTGCAACCTCCTCTTCTTGACGGCTTGAGGACCGTCTGTTCTTTTTCAGTCAGGATCCTGTGGGGTTTTCTGGGTCAAGTGAATAACGCACCATTTCTAGGCGTCACCTCAGGCTGATGGCTCAGGTGGTAAATCACCTACCTGCAATGCGGGAGACCCGGGTTTGATCCCTGGGTTGGGAAGATCTCCTGGAGAAGGAAATGGCAACCCACTCCAGTACTCTTGCCTGGAAAATCCCATGGATGGAGGAGCCTGGTAGGCTACAGTCCATGGGCTTGCAAAGAGTCAGACAGGACTGAGCGACTTCCCTTTCACTTTCAGTCTGCTTACTGGAAAAGCTATAACCTCCCTAATTTTTAAGAAGGGATTTCAGATGGACTCTTATGATTCAAGCTGGGTCCTGAGCCTGGAATCCCAGATAGCTCTGTTATACCAAAACACCACCACAAGAGGACTCAGGTTCTCAGAAGGCAGGTCAGGCAGGGTGCCAGATGTTCAGGGGGCAGCTTAGTTTCCTTGGGGATCTTACCAAGCCACTCATCACTTCATGCTCCTCAGGGATGTCAGCCAGTGCTAAGGAGCTAAGACACAGGGGGTCTCTTGCCAGCCTGATACGCCCTTTCCACTTCATCCTGTCTTACTACCCTCTCTACTTACTCTGTGTGTGTATGTGTGTGTGTGCGCATGCAAACTCAGTCATGTCCAACTCTTTGAGACCCCAGGGACTGTAGCCTGCCAGGCTTTTCTGTCCACGGGATTCTCCAGGCAAGAATACTGGAGTGGGTTACCATGCCCTCTTCCAGGAGATCTTCCCGACCCAGGGATCGAACCCACATCTCCAGCATCTCCTGCCTTGGCAGACGGGTTCTTTACCACTAGCATCACCTGGGAAGCCCTTCTACTTACTATTCTCTCAGAAGTCAGAATTTCTGCCTACCAGCCTTGGATCCCACAACATCTTAATTCTTTTGAGAGCCCAGTAAGATAAGGACAGAGATGCAGATGCCAGAGCTGTTTGTTTGGAAAACGTTTTATTGGAGTTACTGAAGCAGCAAAGGGTGATCAAGGGATGGTGATCAGTAGCCCAGTCTTTCAGTGGCATCAGCAGTGCTGGGTCTCAAAGGGGCAGGTCACTGGGCATCAGGAGTTGCACTCCTCAGTCCTTTCAGCTGAGAGAGAGAGAGGCTACAGTCAGATTGGAGACCCTGGGGCACAGGGAGCCAGGGTCCTAAGAAAGCCCAAGATAGGGTGGGGTTCTGACAGAGAGGACTCACTGCCCTGGTCTAAGTTCCTGTTCTCCTCTGTGTTATAGTGGCTGCAATTTCCCTTAGACTTATTTTGTTGTTGTTTAAATTTTTATTGGCAGATAATTGGTTTACAATGTTGTATTAGATTCACTGCAAAGTGAATCTGTTTTACATATACATATATGCACTCTTTTTTTAGATTCTTTTCCCATATAGGCCATTATAGAGTATTAAGTAGAGTTCCCTGTGTTATACAGTAGGTCTTTATTAGCTATCTATTTTATTTGTAGTAGTGCGTATATGTTAGTCCCAATCTTCCAATTTATCCCTCCCCTCCCTCCCTGCCAACCATAAGTTTATTTTCTATATCAGTAACTCCATTTTTGTTTTGTAGCTAAGTTCATTGGTAGCCATTTTTTAGATATCACATATAAGTGATATCATGTGATACTTGTCTTTCTCTGTCTGACTTAGCTTTGGTCAGAAGAACGCTTAGCCCGCTTTCACTTTCCTTACTCTCCTGCTCAGATCCTCTGCTTTTTCCCTCACCCCCAGCCTCCTTTCTCTCCTAATGCCCACCTCCTCTTACCTTAGGAAAGGCATCCCAGTTGAGGAAAGGAAGTTTCCTTTTGATAGACTAAAACGGAAAAAGAGAATGAGAGTGATGTTTTACAGGTCAGGTGAACATGGATCAGTAAGCTCTTGTTGAAGAGTTCTCTGAAGTGGTGATGGTGTCATTGTCTTATAAATATAGTAAGGATGAGTATTTTCTGAGTCTGTATGCTGTGCTTGCCTTGTACAGACTACTTTACAGGCATGATTTCATTTGGTCTTTGCAGCAATCTTTTGATTTCGGTACTGACATCATACCCACTTCACAGATGAGGAAACTGAGGCTCAGAGCACTGAAGACATTTGCGTGAGGGCACATAGTGAGTATGTGCGGGATCACGCACCACAGGCTCTACTTTTGGTTCTGCCACGGACTTAGTCTTCTTTTTTTTTTTAATATTTATTTTTATTTAGTTATTTGACTGTGCTGGGTCTTAGTTGTGGCATGTGGGATCTAGTTCCCTGACCAAGGATCAAACCCAGGCCCCCTGCATTATCCACTGGACCACCAGCGAGGTCCTTGGCTTTAGCCTTCTAAATTTAGGTAAGTCACTCAACTTAGGACCTCATTTTCTTCCTGGAGGATGAGGGGATTTGAATAAACCCTTGACTGATTAAGTTCTTACTTTTCAGGGATTGTCTTTGTGGGTCACATAAGGAAAACAAGGTGTGGCCACGACAGCCTCCCAGGGAAACTTTCTTCAACTGGGCAGCATTCCAGCGGGACAGTTACTCCCTCCGGGAACCCAGGAAAGCACCACAAGGGCTAGACCGGGATGTGTTGCCCCTATCCGGAAAAACAGTCAGGAGAGAAAGGGCGCCCGAGCTCTTACCTCGAAGAGAGCGTGCCAGTTCAGGAATTCATCGTTCTTGAAAGCCTTTGCAGAGAGAGAGAGACCAGAAGAGGGTCACTTCTGGGGAAGGACAGAGCTTGGCCCCTGGCCGTCTGGAAGAGAGAGGGGCCGAGGAAACCCTGCAAGCTCTCTGCCCAGGCACCAGCCTCCTTGAGGATGGGGGTGTTTGTGGAGGCCGCTCTAGAGAATGAAACTTACTGATCGCAACTTGTCAATGTTCAGGAACTGGGCATTAAAGGCCTAGGCAAAGAAGCAGGGTGTTAAGAAAGTTACTGAAGAACATTGAAGAGGTAGGGGACGAACTCATAGTCAGATGGGGAAAACAGATGGTTTACCTCGGGTCCTGCCGCATAATTACCAATGGTGGTTTCTTCCTGGAAAGTGAAGAAGAGAAAGGGGCTAAATGATCACCAGATGGCAAATCCCCTTCCCCAAAACCTCTCTGCCCCTTCCCGTCCTCCACAGGCCAGCCCCATTCTCCATCCCGGGGGGCCTCAGTTAACCCACTCCATCCTAGTATAGTGGTGGACGGTAGACAGACAGGTGGACAAGAAAGGGATTGGAGGGTGGCATGTGGGAGACAGAGAGTTCAGAGCCCAAGCCCGAATCCCCTGTAAGCAGCAGGAGGAAAGGGTGGAGAAAAGAGGACTCCTCCCAAGAAAAACTAGCCTGCGGTTGACTTGGGGTGTTCCTGAGACACCCCCACTTAACCCACAAAGCTGGGCGCGGGAGATTAGCAGGCAGGTGGGACCCCTTTCTGAGGAGCCCTGCCTGTCTTTAATTGATGGAGGTTGGATTGCTTTGTGACTTGGTTGCCACCAGAGTCCCGGTCTTCGTCTCTCTACTCCAGCTGGTAGCCAGCCCCCATCCCAGGACCTCAGCGCTCCAGTCTGTCACCCTCCCCAGCTCAGCTGCCCAGCTTCATCCCCCGCTTATTCCTTCCTTCGCACAACAGAGGTCACAAACAGTAGCCCACAGGCTAGACCCTAATGTTGACATCGCATCATAATTTGGCTTGTTTGCTTTTTGATTTGAATTAAGCATTTTTAATTAGTAAGAGTTCATAAATCAGATTTCCAGGTTGTCTGGAAAACTTTTCAACTCCGGCCACACCAGCTACCTTTTCCCAGTTAGCAGCAGGCAGGTGGCATATGGACTGTCCCTTTCGAGATGGGGCAAGATAACACCACCTCCCCTGAAGCTCCACCAAGCCCTCTTGCTCCCCAATATCACTTGCTCCCATCCTACGCAGTGGAGTCTGTGCCCTGTCGTTAACTTTCATATCCAGCATGGACATTTTCCCCCGACAGTAGGATAAGGTGAGAAGAGAGGGACCTCAGGAGTTTTCCTGAAGTCAAAAAAAGTTGTGGCTGAACCCAGACGACCAGCCTCAGCTCCTGTCCCCTCTCAGGATGTCCAGCCTCCACCCCACACTTGACCATCCTTTGCAAGAAACATAAGCCTCTCTGCCCCTTCCCATTAATGCTTTGTCTCCTTCCTCCCGTCTTCCCTTCCTCAGAGCCCCAGCTTCTCCTTCAGCCCCAGGGAATGCCCAAAGATAAGAGCCGCTTCTCTAGTGACTGATGGAGGGTAAAGAAATTGAGGAGTAAATCAGCTAATAAGAGAAGCCAGGTGACGTGCTCACCTCAGAGCTGGCCAGGGCTGCCCCCTGAGCAGAGTGGAGCGCCAGGACAGAGAGAAGAACGACAGCGGGAAAAACGGGGATCTTCATGATGTCAACTTTGGGGTGCTCTGAGGCAAGACAACCCAAGGCTTGCCCTTTATATTCCCAGGGAGGCAGATCTGAGCAGAACTGGGGTCCCCACCCCACTGACTCACCTCCAGATCCTATTGCCCACCCCTGGGGCTCTGGGAAGAGGAGGTGTGGACTGTTCCCCACTTACCTTGGATTTCTCAATTCACATACTGCCCCGGGCACTCGAAAGGTGAGCCAGCAATGGGGTTCTTCATGCAGACAGACCTGAGATGGAGACAGGTTGGACCTGTCCCTCCAAGAGATTGGCAGTGGCACCCAAGCAATCTGTCCTTTTGTCTTTGTCTCCTTTCCTTGTAGCTCTTGGTTCCTCTCTTATAATTCAGGCTTTTTCCCACCCTATCCAATTCTGTCTAAACTCCCTACACTGTCATTGAAGGCCTACCAGGCTCTGGCCTCAACCCACCTTTCTAACTTTTCCTTCCTTTTACTCCCTTTGCACATACCTCATGTTCTGGCCAAACTGAACTCCTTACCAAAGATACCCTTTTACTGCCCGTGCTAACTTATGCCTAAAATACCCTTCTCTCCACTTTCGGTCTCAGAACGCAACACCCATCTTAGATTAAGCTTCCCTGATATCTCTCATCAACTGTTACCCCTGACTCCAAAACTTTCCCCTCCCTCCTGAGAACTGCCGTAGCAGTTCATTTGCATCTCTCTGGCATTGTACTTAGAGTCACTTGTGTTCTTCCCTCTTAGAATGTCAAGTTCCTTTAGGTCAAGGACTATATCTTGATTACCTTTATATCCCCCAGCACCGCACCTTAGAATGGAGGGGGTCTACAGATGCTAGATAGCATTTTAGAATTTAAGCATCCTTCCACCAAGTCTTACACTTTCTCCCTTTAGGGCTGGACCCATTATCCAGCTGTCCATCTTTTACTCTTGGCTCTTCAGGGAGGTAACTGTCTTGAGCTAAGACAAAGAACTCAGAAACACAGGAAAGCAGAAACAGGTCTTAGAGCTACCCAGATGGAGATGGGCTCTAGGTCCTAAACTTTGAGTGCTTACACCATCTTGCTGAGCTGATTCTGTTCCCCACCCTACTCCCCCAGCCTGGGAGTTGTATCATCTCAAAGCAACAAACCACCCTCATTAAGCAGCCTTCTCTGCAGCGAGGTTCAGGCAGCCCAACCGGTTCCTGACGTAACAGGGAGGTGCTGGAATGAAGACAGGTGCTGCCTGGACAAGGCAAGATCGTCTTTAAGACTGGGCTCTTGGGACTTCCCTAGTGGTCCAGCGGTTAAAACTGCATCTTCCAGTGCAGCGGGTGTGGGTTTGATCCTGGTCTGAGAGCTATGATCCCATAAACCTTGTGGCCAAAAAACCAGAACATAAACAATAGAAGCAATATTGTAACAAATTCAATAAAGACTTTAAAAATGGCCGATATTAAAAAAAAAAAAAAACCTTAAAAAAAAGATGACTTTGCTCTTTACCCCAGCCTGATGGGATACACAGAGCTAGCAGGCCTAGCGGGGGAGGGCTGGGTCTTACTCAGCAACAGTCTTCTTGAACCCCAGAAGCTGGAACATTGGTTCAATTCTCCTCCTGCCCCCACACCCCAGTCCCCAACATCCTGTTCCTCTTTAGCCTCAGGAAGCCTCCTCTATCTTTCTAACAGCACCTCCCCATCTGCAGAGCTGTCTGAGGAGACAGTGTTTGAGAAGCCGTCAAACACAGATGACCAGGTCACCATGGATATCACGCAAGTGGTGCTCCTGGAGGGGACAAGTGAGAAAATGACAGATGGGTGGAGCACCTCCCAAAAAGGTTTTCTGGAGGACACGAGTTTTTTTAATGTGTGAAGAATTCTTACCAACTAATTAACAGGACCTGAAGGAGCTCATTAACCATCATTCTGTCAGCATAGGGTCAACTATGAATGAAGCTGAATGAAGAATGAACAAAATGGGACTTCCCTGGCATTCCAGTGGTTAAGAATCCCCCTTCCAACGCAGGGGACATAGGTTCAATTCCTGATCAGGGAACTAAGATCCCACATGCTGCAGGACAACTAAGCCCGTGAGCCACAAGTACAGAGAAGCCCGAACGCCAAAACAAAAGACTGCACATGCTGCAACTAAGATCCAAAGCAGTCACAAATAAAAAATAAAGAATGACCAAAATGAAGACTCGACCAAGGAGAGCTGATGTGGTGTACTGAAGTCCCACCAGACCTGCTAATGAAGGAGCACTTCGGCCTGGATCACTTAGAAAAACAGACCAGCCCAGCACTGTCACCTCTCTGGCTCCAGAGAACTTTTGCAACAAACTGATTTCCCTGTTTTCCTTTCCACCTCATTCAAATGCTGCTAATAATAACGTGAGCCAGTTTATTGATGTCCTACTCTGTGGCAGGCCTTGCGCTAAGCGCTTGAAGTGCGTGATCTCACTGAAATCCCACAGAGCTCCTGTGAAGCGAGTATTATAATTATCCACAGTCTGTAGGCAGGAGAACCACAGCACACGGAGGTTAAACCACTCATGCTAGGTCACACAGCCAAGGCGTGGCGAGGCCAGCATTACAACCCCAGATTCCAGAGCCTGCCCCTGTCTCACTCCTTTCCTCAGCCTGCCCACCTGGAACCTTGTATGTGTTAGACCCATGCCCTGAGAGCTGGGGGGCAAAGCTTCAGAGAACCCCCACTATTCCACTTCAACAGGTGTCCTGTTCTTTAATTTTTATTTGCTTAATTTTTGGCTGTGCTGGGCCTTTGTTGCTGGATGGACTTTCTCTAGTTACAGCGAGTGGGGGCTACTCTTCAGTGGTGGTGGACAAGCTTCTCCTTGTGGTGGTGTCTCTTGTGGCAGAGCACAGGCTGTAGAGTGCACGGGCTCAATCACTGTGGCCTGTGGGCTTAGTTACTCCAAAGCATGTGGGATCTTCCTGGACCAGGGATCGAACCAGCGTCCCCTGCACTGGCAGGCAGATTCTTAACCACTGGACCACCAGGAAAGTCCCAGCTGTCCTTTAGTGGTATATGGCCTGTACAGCCGTATATAGCAGCTCTGAGCAGACATACATTAATTTCAGCGAATTAAAATGCAATCTCAAAAATGACAGAATAATCTCTGTCCATTTCCAAGGCAAACCATTAAAGACACAGTAATCCAAGTCTATGCCCCAACCAGTAATGCTAAAGAAGCTGACGTCAAACAGTTCTATGAAGACCTACAAGACCTTCTAGAACTAACACCCAAAAGAGATCTCCTTTTCATTATAGGGGACTGTAATGCAAAAGTAGGAAATCAAGAAACACCTGAAGTAACAGGCAAATTTGGCTTTGAAGTACAGAATGAAGCAGGGCAAAGGCTAACAGAATTTTGTCAAGAGAATGCACTGCTCATAGCAAACACCCTCTTCGAATAACACAAGAGAAGACTCTACACATGGACATCACCAGATGGTCAATACCAAAATCAGATGGATTATATTCTTTGCAGCCAAAGATGGAGAAGCTCTATACAGTCAGCAGCAACAAGACCAGGAGCTGACTGTGGCTCAGATCATGAACTCCTTATTGCCAAATTCAGACTTAAATTGAAGAAAGTAGGGAAGACCACTAGACCATTCAGGTATGACCTAAATCAAATCCCTTACAATTATACAGTGGAAGTGACAAATAGATTCAAGGGATTAGATCTGATAGACAGAGTGCCTGAAGAACTATGGACGGAGTTTTGTGACATTGTACAGGAGGCAGGAATCAAGACTATCCCCAAGGAAAAGAAATGCAAAAAGGCCAAATGGTTGTCTGAGGAGGCCTTACAAATAGCTGTGAAAGAAGAGAAGTTAAAGGTAAAGGAGAAAAGGAAAGATATACCCAATTGAATGCAGAGTTCCAAAGAATAGCAAGGAGAGATAAGAAAGCCTTCCTCAGTGATCAGTGCAAAAAAATTGAGGAAAACAATAGAATGGGAAAGACTAGAGATCTCTTCAAGAAAATTAGAGATACCAAGGGAATATTTCATGCAAAGATGGGCATAATAAAGGACAGAAATGGTATGGGCCTAACAGAAGCAGAAGACATTAAGAAGAGGTGGCAAGAATACACAGAAGAACTGGACAAAAAATATCTTCATGACCCAGATAATCACAATGGTGTGATCACTCACCTAGAGCCAGACATCCTGGAATGCAAAGTCAAATGGGCCTTAGGAAGCATCCTTATGAACAAAGCTAGTAGAGGTGATGGAATTCCAGTTGAGCTATTTCAAATCCTAAAAGATGATGCTGTGAAAGTGCTGCACTCAATATGCCAGCAGATTTGGAAAACTCCGCAGTGGCCACAGGACTGGAAAAGGTCAGTTTTCATTCCAATCCCAAAGAATGGCAATGCCAAAGAATGTTCAAACTACTGTACAACTGCACTCATCTCACACACTAGCAAAGTAATGCTCAAAATTCTCCAAGCCAGGCTTCAACAGTACGTGAACTGTGAACTTCCAGGTGTTCAAGGGGGGATTTAGAAAAGGCAGAGGAACCAGAGATCAAATTGCCAACATCCACTGGATCATCGAAAAAGCAAGAGAGTTCCAGAAAAACATCTTCTACTGCTTTATTGACTATGCCAAAGCCTTTGACTGTGTGGATCACAATAAACTGTGGAAAATTCTTCAAGAGATGGGAATAACCACCTGACCTGCCTCTTGAGAAATCAGTATGCAGGTCAGGAAGCAATGGTTAAAACTGGACATAGAGCAGCAGACTGGTTCCAAATAGGAAAGGGAGTACGTCAAGGCTGTATATTGTCACCCTGCTTTTTAAACTTAAATACAGAGTACATCATGAGAAATGCTGCACTGGATGAAGCACAAGCTGGAATCAAGATTGCTGGTAGAAATATCAATAATCTCAGATATGCAGATGACACCACACTTAAGGCAGAAAGCAAAGAACTAAAGAGCTTCTTGATGAAAGTGAAAGAGGAGAGTGAAAAAGTTGGCTTAAA